CTCCCGCTTAGCAACAACCCCAAAGAAACTACGACACTCCCCCTTACACCACTCCCATCAAACGAACAGTGAGGAGAATTCAGCCCTTCGGGCAACGATTCCAACCCACCAGGCCCAAACTGCGCACAAATACACGGACAATGCAACAACCGACAATTTAGTTTCCACCATACAGGCTAAACCCCCACCTGACTTCGAACACCAACCCAGACCACCACCAAACAATGATCTGAGAAGGCCACCGGGATCTTGCGAAAGTCAAAAACCGAACACTCCCCACCAGAAACATAGAACGTATCTAACCTAAAACGCACCCCATGCGCAGTGAAGGTATACTCCAACGAGCCGCCACATAAAACGGCTGCATCGCGAAACCCACACGCATGCAAAACCTCAATTAAAACGGCCGAAACATTCCGCGGGTGATTGTTAGAGCAATCCCACTCACTCGTAGCACAATTAAAATCACCCCAAAGATTAAATCCCTCGTATCATGCCGCAGGTATGACAAAAGCCCCTCCCGAAAAACAACTCCCGGTCCTGATGATGCACCACTCCAGAAGGGGCATACACAGTCTAGAACAGAATCACAACCCCCAAATATTCCGCCCGAACAAACAACACCCGTCCCTTTTCATCCATTTCCCTGTGAAGCACAGAAATAGACGCGATCCGCGAAAACAACATGAGCGTCCCCCCAAAGGACGTCCTCGGTTGGTTCAACACAACATGATACTCAGCACACAACCCCTGCAAAACAGACACATCCCAAACATTGTGCTCCTGCATCAGAGCCACATCCACACGCTGATTGCTAAGCACATTCACAAGGACCAAATGGATCGCCAGAGCATTCAGACCACGAACATTCAAAGACGAGCAAACAATAGCAGGCTCCATCGAACCCATCAGTGATGGGTTCGATGGAACCCTATTCCCCCCAGGCTCACCAGGGGGCACATTGCCACCCACTGCAGAGGCGTCATCAGCAACCCAAGGCTCAAACTGCCGCCGCCCCACGGCCAGGGAATCCACCGGGACACCGGATCAAAGACCCTTCAGGAAGTAGACAGTGATCACCCAGCGAAGCATGCCGAGACCCCGTCGCCACTGACTGACGTACACCACCGACAAGGAAATCTTGCCTCCATCCGGCACTGCATCACCTCCGGAATCCACATCAGACACAGGAGAATTAGGAGGAGGGGGGACACCACCCAAGGGGCAGCCCAGCGAAGCCTCAACCTGTTTGCCAGGAGGCTCTCCACTGCGAGAGCGCCCCCCCCCCCCCGCAATGCACTTCCGGCGAGGAGCAGGGGAGGACAACGCCCCCTCATGGCGTGAACCCCCAGGATGTCCAGAAAAGGAACGCGCAACACAGGTAACTGGAACCCTGGCACCATCCACGACGCCTCCATCATCTTCAGAAAACGAACCCCCTTCAGCGGGAGGCACCGATACGATACTCCCACCACGACGCCCATCCACCACCGAAGCACCAGGAACGGGATGCACCTCCATATCCACCGGAAGTAGAAGACACGAAGCAGGGGCAGCCACTTCCTTCACCGCAGCCAATACAGGTGACACCACAGGCACAGATGGAACACCAGGCACAACCGCCGCAGGTACACCACCAGGCATACCTCCCATGCCGAGAACCGGCCAGGGAGGTACCAAGCTCATGCAGTTCGGAGCCGGTCGGCCGAGCGGACAGCACGCTGGACTTGTGATCCTGTGATCCTGGGTTCGATCCCAGGCGCCGGCGAGAAACAATGGGCAAAGTTTCTTTCACCCTATGCCCCTGTTACCTAGCAGTAAATAGGTACCTGGGTGTTAGTCAGCTGTCACGGGCTGCTTCCTGGGGGTGGAGGCCTGGTCGAGGACCGGGCTCGGGGACACTAAAGCCCCGAAATCATCTCAAGATAACCTCAAGAAGGGCGGGAAAATCCCCCTCACAAAACACAGAAGTAGTCTCCATGTGAGGAACTTCACACCGGGAAGCGTCATGGCCCTCCTCCCTGCAGCGGAAGCACGTGCGGGCTTGCCCCGAATAGAATAGAAAACACGGAGTTGAAGATCACAGCACATTACCTTGGAAGGGATGGACTCCGTGAGGTGCATATGCAGCGAGCGAGTACCCTGCTGGAAACCCCGCAGCCGCCCAGCACTCAAAATGTTGTATCGATGACGCATCACCGAACCATACCTAGCAAACACAGAGGAAAGCTCCGCCTCAGGAAACATAACAGGTACCCGTGCACGCTCACGAAGGTCAATGGGTCCCACGGATCAGAGACAGTCACTGAAATAGCCAAATTAGGAAGGAGAGCCTTCCGCTCATTCCAACACCCCACAAACTGCTCGTATCCAGGTGACGTGGCTAACGTCACTGCCACACAAGTGGGAGAAAATTTCACGAGACCGAGGAGATCCTTCACATCCACGTCCAGGGCATCTAGAAGGGCAGCCGCCACAAGCTCCCAATACACCGCCGCAGAGACCTCCAGATGAACAGTATTTACATGGCGGATGCGGCCACCACCAGCCGCCGCCTTATTGCTAACCTCCGCCCCGGTCAGCAGGCGACCCACACCAACGAGCAACCACCACCAAGCAGCAACAAACAGCTACTGGCAGTTAGAACCCGACGTCCACGCCTTCCAGTGGCAGAGGACGAAATCCGACTTTAGACATTGTGTTAGCTGAGACAGAGATACAAACTAATAACGTCTAAATAGGCAAAGAGCTTGGTAACAGTGATCATAACGAAGGAAAAGTAATGCACATGAGAAAGTGCTAAGCCATTAAATGTATATAACACTTGAAAGAGACATGAGGGAATGGATTTTTGTTTTGTTTTACATGCATGCATGCAATTAAATACAGTAAAACAGAATACAATATAAACATGCAAGCAAAGAATGACAAAAAAACAAAACATAGTAACAATCAACAAATCAAATATAGAAGCACTGGCCTGAAGGACCGACAACAAAGCACAACATGAATTAAACACACAGAAAAAACACAGTAACAAAGCACAGAACCATCAGCCTGAAGGGCTGCCAGCAAAACAGGAACGTGAATTACAGCAAGGCCACACAGCCCTGGAGAACGCCAGGACAAGGAGTAGAAACCTGGTCCTGAAATTCTTTAACAATAAACAAGCAAACTCAACAGGAGGTATACTTAGCTCAGCAGCAAGAGACTATTACCTTGCCTTTAAAGCAGAGCTTCCGAACCTATACCTCCTTCCTAAGATTCATAAAGATTTACACCCTCTTACAGGTACATGGCAGGGCAGACCAGTCCTTAGCGGTTGCAAAGCACCAACTCGCCCAATTGACTTGATCTGCACAGCATTACTAAACCCCCTTCTCTCTCTTTTAGATGAACGCCTGAAAGACACAACTGATCTTTTGCTGAAACTGAGGGATTTGAATGCAAGCAGAGGACCCGTCCCAGAGAACACGACCCTGTTCTCCCTTGACATAGTCTCCCTCTACCCAAGCATCCCCCAACGGGAGGCAGCGAGATTGGTCTCGACGTACTTCGACGACCATAAACACCTCATACGCCAGCCCCTCAGAGACGCAGGAGTTTGGAGGCCCCCATCAAGGGCTCTCCTGGAGGAAGCGATTCTGCATGTCATGAGGGATACAATTCTATCCTTCGATTCAGCAGCGTACAGACAAGTAAAGGGAACGGCAATTGGAGCATCAAGTAGTGTGGCTATAGCGGAAATCTTTGTTCACGTGGCCTTTGAGCACCAGAGAGCACTCCGCCCAGATAAACCAGACGTGTACTTCCGTTATATTGATGATATTTTCGGTATAATGACTGGACAAGACACACTCCTCCAGTCTTTATACACCTGGACAAATACAGCCCACGAAAATCTGAAGTTCACCTTGGAGCAGAGTAAAACAGAGATAAACTTCCTGGATACGACAGTGTTCATTGGCAGTGAGGACAGACTCCTTCACACGAAGGCCTACTACAAGCCCACGAACCTGCACACGTATCTACGATAAGACTCCAGTCACCCCTCCTCCTTGAAGAACTCCCTACCCTACTCCTTAGGTCTACGTTTGAAGAGGATAAACAGCCTTGAAGACACACTTGCTACTCAACTTCTAGACCTCTGGGACATGTTCTCAGCCAGAGGATACCCAGAACGAGTAATAGCAACGGCTAAAAACAAACTAGACCTGAAGACGAGGTCAGAGCTCCTCATACAGGCCCCCACTCCAGACCCTCAGTCGAGATGGATCCTCCCATCGCTGTATTTTAACGGCCTAGCAAGCCCTCTCCATAATGCCCTGACTGACATCTGGAACTGGCTGAGAAACACCTATGGGGACCACCCTTCTTGGCCTAGATTTGCCCAAACACCTCCAATGCTGGCCTGGAGACGAGGAAAGTCACTTAAGGATCATCTAGTACATTCCTGCCTCCACAGGACACACTGCCTTTAACCGAACCTGACACAGACCGATTGTGCAAGAGAATACCCCTGGTTCCCTGGGTTGGGGCCACGAGGTTGAGAGGGCCCCCACAACACAAAACCCGGGCCATACTCTAACCAGAATTTTCAAGGTCCGCCCAGACCCCCTCACAGGGGCAGACCTGGGAGGGGCAAACCTGGGAGGGGCAGGGTCAGGGGCAGGAACAGTGTCCACACAGGGCGCCGGAAACGGCACCGGGTGGAACTATGGAGGAGGGCAAAACGAGACCTCAAACCGGCCAATATCAAACGGGCAAAATCCCTAAAAAAATCGGTGGTATCTGAGGTCCCTCTGAGCACCATAGAGAGGGACCTCTTGAGTAGGGGCCTGTCCTTTGTGATTGGGCCCCCTACAGTACCCAAACGAGTACAGGCAGTAGAGGAAACCCTCTCACACCTAGAGACACAGATTAACAGGGCATGGAGCAAACTCAGGTCAGGGCCACAACCCCACCAAGAAAGGAAACAACAACCCGAGAGATCGCTTTCAATGAAATACCTGAATCCTGCCTCAGTTCAAGGAAACACCACTTTCAATTTAAATGGACTTCACCCACAAATCCAGGCAACCCTGGAAAGCCTTAAAACACAGGTAAAGCAGAGAACCCGTGGTAACCTTACAAAAACACACAGGGAGGCGCTACGCGCCCTTAAGGCTCGCCCAGACATTATAATTAAACCCGCGGATAAAGGCGGTACTGTAGTAGTCTGGAGAAAAACGAACTACACAAAGGAAATGGTAAGGCACCTCTCAGACGAGACGACTTACCAAAAAATACAGCAAGGCCACACAGCCCTGGAGAACGCCAGGACAAGGAGTAGAAACCTGGTCCTGAAATTCTTTAACAATAAACAAGCAAACTCAACAGGATGTATACTTAGCTCAGCAGCAAGAGACTATTACCTTGCCTTTAAAGCAGAGCTTCCGAACCTATACCTCCTTCCTAAGATTCATAAAGATTTACACCCTCTTACAGGTACATGGCAGGGCAGACCAGTCCTTAGCGGTTGCAAAGCACCAACTCGCCCAATTGACTTGATCTGCACAGCATTACTAAACCCCCTTCTCTCTCTTTTAGATGAACGCCTGAAAGACACAACTGATCTTTTGCTGAAACTGAGGGATTTGAATGCAAGCAGAGGACCCGTCCCAGAGAACACGACCCTGTTCTCCCTTGACATAGTCTCCCTCTACCCAAGCATCCCCCAACGGGAGGCAGCGAGATTGGTCTCGACGTACTTCGACGACCATAAACACCTCATACGCCAGCCCCTCAGAGACGCAGGAGTTTGGAGGCCCCCATCAAGGGCACTCCTGGAGGAAGCGATTCTGCATGTCATGAGGGATACAGTTCTATCCTTCGATTCAGCAGCGTACAGACAAGTAAAGGGAACGGCAATTGGAGCATCAAGTAGTGTGGCTATAGCGGAAATCTTTGTTCACGTGGCCTTTGAGCACCAGAGAGCACTCCGCCCAGATAAACCAGACGTGTACTTCCGTTATATTGATGATATTTTCGGTATAATGACTGGACAAGACACACTCCTCCAGTCTTTATACACCTGGACAAATACAGCCCACGAAAATCTGAAGTTCACCTTGGAGCAGAGTAAAACAGAGATAAACTTCCTGGATACGACAGTGTTCATTGGCAGTGAGGACAGACTCCTTCACACGAAGGCCTACTACAAGCCCACGAACCTGCACACGTATCTACGATAAGACTCCAGTCACCCCTCCTCCTTGAAGAACTCCCTACCCTACTCCTTAGGTCTACGTTTGAAGAGGATAAACAGCCTTGAAGACACACTTGCTACTCAACTTCTAGACCTCTGGGACATGTTCTCAGCCAGAGGATACCCAGAACGAGTAATAGCAACGGCTAAAAACAAACTAGACCTGAATATGAGGTCAGAGCTCCTCATACAGGCCCCCACTCCAGACCCTCAGTCGAGATGGATCCTCCCATCGCTGTATTTTAACGGCCTAGCAAGCCCTCTCCATAATGCCCTGACTGACATCTGGAACTGGTTGAGAAACTCCTATGGGTACCACCCTTCTTGGCCTAGGTTTGCCCAAACACCTCCAATGCTGGCCTGGAGACGAGGAAAGTCACTTAAGGATCATCTAGTACATTCCTGCCTCCACAGGACACACTGCCTATAACCGAACCTGACACAGACCGATGGTGCAAGAGAATACCCCTGGTTCCCTGGGTTGGGGCCACGAGGTTGAGAGGGCCCCCACAACACAATGCCTAGAACCAGATAATATGGCAAAGATCAAATACAAAACAATACACACAACAAACACAGAAAATACAGACATAAAGGAAACACAGGCTATATAATAAAAAAAGACAGGAACAAACAAAGAAGCAGCCCGAAGGGCCTCCTCAAAACACAAACAAGCGCACCAATTGCACAAATAAACCGAAACAGGCCCACGCATGAGCCAAGAGGAAACATCCACATGCACACACACAACGTCACCCCCTGTGCACGCAGGCACCGGGCAAACAGATCACGGACTACTGATACTTTTCCGGATACTGAGATGATGGGAACCGTAAACAATACGCTTCCCAAAGCAACTGGGCGTTCTCTGGAACCTGATGCACGTAAACCACATCCGGCCGAGGCATTAAGTCCGGCACACCCTGGATAAAAAACCGTCCTCGCAGAACCCAAACACAAGTAGGATCCCACGGAACCGGGAGCACGCGCTCTATTGTGTGAAAACGCACAGTGGAAAAAGTATGCACGTCACTGGAGGCCAAGACATTAGGAAAGGGGTTCACTCCAGGGGGGCCTGGTAGAAGACGGCGCACTCAGAGGTACACTGGAGGGGGGGGGGTGCACTGTGGGGAAACTCCAGGCAGCTAATTTCTCTTTTTTAAATTGACTTTAATAAGATAAAGTTATGTCTTATTTATTTTTCTTAGTAAGTAAGAATTAATTGAGTGGACTGTATATACTTGTAAACTGCCCGAAATCTTCTTACACACTAATGGGAGGGACAATTGGTAGCCTAAACCACTTTGTTATGGCTCCTTCTTAAACTACCAATTGTTTACCTTTTATAATTATAATATACCACATGTGGTGGTCTACTTATTAATATATCATACCACATATGGTGGTCTAATCTACTAGTAATAATTACTAATTATGACTACTAATACTGTTAAAATGGCTTAGCTGTGCCAGTAGTGTGGGCCTGGTAAGGCGTGTAGGTGTAGCTTCCAGATTGGGTGTGGCTCTGTGCCTCCTTGTGCCACGTAAGGGCGGCTGGTGGGAAGGACAAGCTTGGCAAACAATAGTGAATGTGTATGAACCAACTGTCTGCTCAACTTCTTGCTGCTCCTATCACAATTTACCTGTATGGGATGCAAGGAATTTATCAAAGTTCCCTAAACATATCAATTACAGGTATGACATGAAATGTGAGGGCTGTAAAATGGAGTACACGTACATTGTGGTTTGTTTTATTCCTACATCGTGACCGCCTCTACCCATTGAATCAAAATGTGCACAAAATGATATACAGTACTTGGCAAGACGGATACGGTCGTTGTTTTGATGTTGATAGGCTGTGTTGCTGGTTGTTGACACGTAAATGGGGTGTCTAGTTGTTTCACCAGAGGTCCAGTGTTGTTGCCTGCCTGGCTGCGTGCTGACGTGGCCGTTTTGCCATGGGGGGCCTGGCTATTCCTCCTGTGTTGCGGGTAAATTCCGTGGGACTGGAATTCACGTGTAAGGCTGGTTATCCGGCCGTTGAGTTAGTTATGTGTGACATGCTTCGTGTCCCGGTGGAAGCTGTGTATGGCGTTGAGCTTGTTACGGCCCACCGGGTGATTGTCAAGTTCGTGGGGGAGGAGGAGTATCGGGACTTCCTCCGGCGGAACGAGGAGCGTTCATTGCAGTTGCCGGATGGCGCCGGCTCCGTTACGATCTCGGACCGAAGTGGTGCCCTGACATATGTCAGTGTGCACGGTGCGCCCCTGGAGTTCCCTGAAAACCTTCTCCGGCGATTCTTCGGGAGGTATGGTGTGGTCATCAGTGTGCGGGTGAACAAGCTGTCCTCGGGGAAGTATGCTGGGAAGCAGACGAACATCCGCACATTAGGTATGCGCCTGCGGTCGGATATCCCATCTTCTGTCCGGCTGCTGGGCTACTACGTTCGGGTGTACTATGCCCGGCAGCCCCGTACTTGTTTCCGGTGTGGCCAGTTGGGGCATCAGGCTGCCGGGTGCTCTGGGACACCTGCTACACCCGTTAACTTATTCCGGGAGGAGGATTCCCCGCCGCTCCCTCAGGGCGTGGATTCCGGAGATGAAGTGGAGCAGGTCCCAGTCGCTGCTGATGCGGCCCCTCCTGCGTCACCCGACATGTCCCCGGTGCTTGTTGCCCCTCAGCCGAGTGCGTCTGCGTCTTCCTCGACTCCTGCTGCTGTGCCTGGTCCTGCACCCTCGCCAGGTGTTCCGGCAGTGTTGGGTGTTGGGGGTGCTGCGGAGCATCCTGTTGTGTGCGGCCCGGTTCCCCATGTGGTTGAGGCTGCTGAAGTACTGCGACGGGCATTGATTCGCCCGGTTCGTGAGGGCCGTGGTTCTGGGTCCGCCTCCGGCTGTGAGGATGTGCGGCCAGTGCCCAAGCGTTCTAGGCGCTCTTCTACTGCTTGGGCTGATATGGAGGACTACGACGCAGGTGGAGCTTCGGGAGATGGTGTGGCGATTCCGGGTGCCTCGTGCTCTACGACGCTGGTGGTGGCCGATGTCCATGTGTCGGCTGTTGACGATGATTGTGCGTCTAATTTACCTCCTGTTCTTTCTCCTGCAGATGGTTCTCCGCAGTGGGAGGTGGTTGCTCCTACGGGCGTGGATGGTGTGGATCCTGGTGCGAGCCGAGGCATCAAGCTGGTGCTGAAAAAGGATGCCAGGCGTGGGGGGTCCCAGCAGGTGCAACGTTCAGTGGTTGCCGAGGGGCCCTGTGAGGCAGCTGAGGAGGCTCCCAGTGTGCTGCCCATTGCCCGGCCTCTTGGGAAGGAGCCTCTCCCTCTCATCTTGGCCTCCGGAGTGGCGATGGATGCTGACCATCCGTTGCATTTTGAAATTGTTGACCGTGTGCGTCCTGCTCCGTGGTGCCCTTCTACCATCTGGATTCGTCGGGCTAAGTGTTTTATTGTGGGTGTGCCAGAGTTAATGCCCGATCCTCGTACGCTCAATAGTGACCATGTTTCGGAGGACATTATGTTACTTTGCGAAGCGTACTGTATTCGCTTCCCGGCGGAAGAGTGGCCGGACAAGTATGAGATCTTTTCGTAGTCTGTGTGCTTGCTGTGTGTTTTCTTTTTCTTTTTGTTTTCTTGTGTTTTTGATGTTGGCCCTTCAGGCCGGTGTTTAGTGACTTGTGTTTCTGCCTGATTTTTTATTGTAATTGGCCTCGCCTTTTGTTACGGGGCGTTAATGTATTGATTTTCTGTTGCTTTACCTGTTGCCTCTTGTTGTATGTTTTGTTTTTTGGAGGTGTTGTTTTGTACTGTGATTGCTGGATTGCCATTGTATTCTGTTTTGTGCTTTGATGTATGCTGTATTTTTCATGTTTTTCTTGTGTATGTGTTTTGTTGTGCTATGCTGTTTTGTTGTGCTCTGCTGTCGGCCCTTCTGGCCGGTGGTCTATTGTTTTCCTTTATGTATTCTGTATTTTTATTGTATTTAATTTGCATGCTCTGCATGTAAAAATAAAAAAAAAAAATAAAAAAAAAAAGTTGTTTCACCAGCTCTAGAGTCAAGTACAGCGTAGTGGCTGCTGTGTTTTGTTATTGTTCTGTCGCAGGAGCCTTGCTCTCTCTCGAGCCAATGCCCTCAAAGCTGGTTCCTCACTCAAAGTAATTTTACATTAACAAGGGAACCTAGCTACAATTTGATGTAAATAATGATATTCAGTCTTATTGATTACTTTTTTGTTAACTCTAGATACTAAACTAGCCTATTAACAATGTTTCATAATGTAAATATACGATGACATCCATGACGTCATGGAGTCGATGACATCATGGAGTCTCCCATTTTCCATCCTGAAGGGATTACAGACTAAGGGAGAGTGTGTTATATGTACTCACCTAGTTGTACTCACCTAGTTGTGTTTGCGGGGGTTGAGCTCTGGCTCTTTGGTCCCGCCTCTCAACCGTCAATCAACAGGTGTACAGATTCCTGAGCCAATCGGGCTCTATCATATCTACACTTGAAACTGTGTATGGAGTCAGCCTCCACCACATCACTTCCTAATGCATTCCATTTGTCAACCACTCTGACACTATAAAAGTTCTTTCTAATATCTCTGTGGCTCATTTGGACACTCAGTTTCTACCTGTGTCCCCTTGTGCGTGTTCCCCTTGTGTTAAATAGACTGTCTTTATCTACCCTATCAATTCCCTTCAGAATCTTGAATGTGGTGATCATGTCCCCCCTAACTCTTCTGTCTTCCAGCGAAGTGAGGTTTAATTCCCGTAGTCTCTCCTCGTAGCTCATACCTCTCAGTTCGGGTACTAGTCTGGTGGCAAACCTTTGAACCTTTTCCAGTTTAGTCTTATCCTTGACTAGATATGGACTCCATGCTGGGGCTGCATACTCCAAGATTGGCCTGACATATGTGGTATACAAAGTTCTGAATGATTCTTTACACAAGTTTCTGAATGCCGTTCGTATGTTGGCCAGCCTGGCA